ACTAAATGGACAAAAACTGAAAGTTTTCACACTAAAATCAAGAGCAACACAAGGATGTCCACTATCACCACTCCTATTCAATATAGTTCTGGAAATACTAGCCAGGGCAATCAGAAAAGAGAGAGAAATAAAAGAAATAAAGATAGGAGAAAAAGAAGTTAAATTATCACTATTTGCAGATGACATGATACTTTATATAGAAGACCCAAAAAACTCCATTAAAAAAACTACTGAATAATAAACAAATTCAGCAGTGTAGCAGGATACAAAGTCAGTGCTCAAAAACCAATAGCATTTCTGTACACAAACAAAAATCTCACCAAGAGACAAATTATGGAAATATCACCCTTCACAATAGCATATAAAAAATGAAATAATTAGGAATCAACCTAAGGATGTAAAAGACCTATATGCTGAAAATCATGCTATCCTAAAAAGGAGATTGAAGAGGATATTAGAAAATGGAAAGATATTCCTTGCTCTTGCCTAGGAAAAACCAACATTGTGAAAATGGCCATACTCCCAAAACTCTTATACAGATTTAATGCAATCCCAATCAAAATACCACCAACATACCTCACAGATCTAGAGAAAAAACTCCTAAAATTCATTTGGAAATAGAAGAAACGTAGAATAGCAAAGGCAATTCTGGGCAACAAAAGCAAGGCAGGAGGCATCTCATTTCCTGACTTGAAACTATACTACAAAGCCACAGTGATAATATAATCATCATGGTACTGGCAAAGAAATAGACCTGGGGATCAATGGAATAGACTAGAAAATGCACGCACAACTACAAAGACACTCAGACACCTAATATTTGACAAAGGGGCTAAACATGTTCACTGGAAGAAGGATAGCCTCTTTAATCAATGGTGTTGGAAAAGTTGGCTCTCCACATGCCGAAGACTGAAACTAGATCCAAGCCTATCACATGCAGAAAACTGTAGTCTAAATGGATCAAAGACCTAAATATCAAAATGAAAACACTAAATCTACTGGAAGACAAGGTAGCTAGAAGTCTTGGAGACACAGGGGTAAGCAGAGAATTCATGAACAAAAATGCAAACTACGTGGGAAATACTTCAAAGAATCAACAGCTGGGCTCTCATATTATTGAAAAGTTTCTGCACTTAAAAAGAAATCACTGACAGAGTGAAAAGAAAACCCACAGAATGGGAAAGAATTGTAGCCAGAAACCCCTCAGACAAAGGACTTATATCCAGAACATATAAAGAATTGAAGAACATCAAGCCCCCCAAATTCAAAGACCCTCTCCAAAAATGGGTATCCCAGATGAACACACAGTTCTCAGATGAAGATATACAAATGGCAAATAAATACATAAAGAAAAGTTCATCATCACTGGTCATTTGAGAAATGCAAATTAAAACAGCATTGAGATTTCGTCTCACTCCGAAAAAAAATAGCTTCCATCAAGAAATCAACTGATAACAAATGTTGGTGAGGCTGCAGGGGGAAAAGGAACACTGCTCCATTGTTGGTAGGATGTAGACTGGTGCAACCACTATGGAAATCAGTAGGGAGATTTCTCAGAAGACTGGATTGGAAGTTCCATTCAACCCAGCTATTCACCTCCTGGTTATTTTCCCAGAAATACTGAAAAGGTCATGTCACAGTGATATATGTGTACCTATGTTCATAGCAGCACAATTTGTAATAGCTAAATCTTGGAAACAATCAAAATGCCCATCAACTGCAGAGTGGATGAAAAAGATGTGGTATTTTTGTACAATGAAATATTACTCAGCTATAAAAAGGATGATCTTGAGGCCTTCATAGGTAAATGGAGGCAACTTCAGACCATCTTCATAAGTGAAATAAATAAGAATCATTTATACATATCATATTGTGTCTCTAGTTTAAAAAGTAATAAGAACTGTAGGAGAAATAAAACCCAAAATTTGTAATTGCTATTGTAAAAAAGAGAGGAAAAGAAAGTGCTCTAAAGGTTATTAACTGCATGTATGCTTAAGTGTGTAAGATAGATGACCATATTACTAAGATTTTGTCGGATCGTTCAACAGAGCTGCTTGCAGTCTCACTGTTTGAATGTTCACTTTATATGCTTTAATTTTGTAACTTGAACAACTATTTCTAAGATGACAGTATGTAATTTATCAACTAGTGATTTCTTAGTGTTTATTTTTGTTTGAAATTCTGTATTATTACTACCTTTTTTTCTGTTTTGCTTTTATTTCTCTTTAAATAAAATTTTAAAAAATTAAATAAAATGGGAGGCATAAATCGTACGAGTCCAGGGGTAACGAGAGCTGGTCTAGGGAGCATCACACACGTGTTTCTACTGTTCTTTAACTAGTTCCTTTCTTTTTCTGTACTTTGGTTTTCCAAGTTTATATTACTGGTGGCACCTATTTCAGATACTTCCCTCAACATATAGGAGTGTGAAGGCTCCACAACCTTTTGAATCCCCATGGCTATCTCCCCAGAGGCCTTGGGAGATAGCACCAACAAAAACATTTTAAAGTAGACAGTTTCATCTCTATGTTGATTTGCCTTTTGCCAGAAGCATTTTATACATTGCTTTACTTCTCTAGTTATTAAATGATAACCAAAATGCATTGGCTCTTAAGTATGTTAATATAGTTATCATTTGTTTAAATTACATAAAATGTCATCTACATATGAAATTTGCATGTTTCTGGAACCAAGTCATTAGGCACATATTTTGTACCAGTGAAAATAAGAATACTCCATGGAATGATACTATACTGGCTAACTGACTTATTTACAAAATGTGCATAAAATGTACACTGCAGATTTATAATAGGGCTTTGTGTCTTTTGTCTTTAATCTGCATATGAACCACCAGGTCCAATGTTATGCATAGGATAAAATAGGCAGTTGCAATTGGGATGGTGAAGCAGCACAGAAAAGACCTGCCTGTCTTAAAAGATATTCCTTCTAGCTTGCCTCTGGAATAAGACATTATCTTCAGATTGTTCTATGAAAAGCAATATATTAATGGATAATATACCAAAATCACTTTTTATTACAGGAACTGTTAATTCCCGTTTACCACTCAGAATCTAACAGGGCCATTAGGAAATGGGACGCAGAGACATTTCCAACTGCTAAAGATGATATGAAAAATGTGGGGAGAGGCCACTAGGCCGGAGGGCGCCTCCTGGTAGCAGGGAGAGGGCTTGAAAGCAGAAGGTTCCTGTGGGAAGAAGCTCTAAGAGAAAAGTTTCTCCCAAAATCTACTTGCTTCCAAGGTCAGTCTAGGGCTGAACCCCTGGGAACAAATGAGGAAGCAGGGTAGTCTTAATTTCCAGATAAAGCCACATCTCACCATAAGCTCTCTGAGGCACTTTGTTCTGTCTCACACAGGAAAGACCTGAGATGACACCACAGGTATCACAGATACTGAGGCAAAGCATTTTGCATTTTCCCAAGTTATATAAAGCCATATGGTTAGATAAGCTCTTGCCTCTAAATAAGTATGGAAAAAGAAAACTAATTGTCATTATCAAGTCCTGTGTACTTACAAATTCTTTTTACTGTATTTTCAGAGCTTAAAAATGAAGCCACCTTTTTTCTGATAATTACCCCTGACATTTTGCCACTGACCCACTTTACAAAGGAATCAAGTCCAAATGCTACATTATTTAATCAGGATTCGTTGCATTTTAGATGAATGGAGATAGAAGTAAAGATAACACATTAGGAAATTTTTCAGAATTCACTTTTAGGCTTTCTTTCATCTCAAATCTATTGCTAAACATTAACCCTTTTTCCAGTTTATTTTCCAATTAAGCAATTTAGTTGTATATAAAATAAAAGTACTATTTTATCAATAACTTATTGTTCTCCTCTTGGGGGAGGGGTGGTAAACCTTGACTATAGGGCTTTCTCACTGAGCTACATCACCAGTCCATTTTTTATTTTTAAGATAGAGACTTGCTAAATTGTTGAAATGCCAGACCACGTCTGCCCTTGTGATCCTCCCACCTCAGCCTCCAAAAGTGTTGAGAATACAGACCTGCACCACCAGGCTGTGCTCATTTCTCTCCTCTTAGTCAAAAAGCAAAAGTGATTACTCCGTGTTCTACCATACATAGTAAAGAATGACTAAGAAATGTTAGAATAAAATTTCAAGCATAAATTTGGTGTCTGGTTGATGTGGTGCTACACAATGATAAGCCCAGCTCTCAGGGAGGTTGAGGCAGAAGGATACCAATTTTGAGTCTTACCTGGGTAATTTAGCAGGATCTTGCCCCAGAACAAAATTCATTTTGAATTAAAAAGAATTGGGTATACAGCTCAGTGGTAGAGTACCTCTGGGGATAATGACACATATGCTCCCCGTCCCCCGAAAAAGAAGCTCAATGTGTATTTATCTTAGGTTGTTAAGCATAATTATTAGAATTTTATTGCTTTTCTCTTTTTTCATAAATTTTTACTTACTTATTAAAAACATTTGACTTTTCATTCATAATTTAGCCATAGTGGAAAAATAGAGGTATATCGTTTAGACTGAGACAAAAAACCTTGATAAAAAAATAATTGATAAATTGGCTCTCTAATCATATTATGCTAGAGCCCTAATATTCAAGAATTGTCTTATAAACATTAGTTGAACAGATCTTGTTCATTTCTCTAAAAACAAGAATTTTTAATCTCTTTTTGCAGGATAGAAGACTATTATGGTTTAAGTATATTTTGGAAATTTATTCCAACAGAAAAATTGAAAATGTCTGATACTCTCAATTACTTAAAGCATTTATGATTTTAAGCTCCCAGCAGAAGGCTGCAGCTCAAGGGAAGAATTAAGAGCAGTTAGTCAGAAAGACACTTATGTAAGAACTGTCACAATGGTTATTGGTTTGAAAGCAGGAAGCCTCGTATTTTAGACTCAAAGCTTTAAGGAATCTGTATTGAGCATTTTCCCTTCTCAGAGGTGATGAGTGAGATCTTGAGAACATTGACAGTTTTTCTTTTTTATTCTGTTGCAGCCCAGAAGATGGTGAGATACATCCAGAAATCTGTCGGCTTTACATACAGCTACAGTGCTGCTTAGAAATGTACACAACAGAGATGTTAAAATCCATTTGTCTTCTGGGGTCTCTTCAGTTTCATCGAAAAGGTATCTACATTTTGTTGATTGCTGGAAACACTGAGAAATTTATCTACACACAATTAGAATGAATTTAAATGTTCAGGAAATATTTGGGACATGAATTAATAAAAAGTTCATAGAATTGTTGTCTAAGTGTGTAAGAACACTAATAGTTCTGGAAAGAAATGATGGTAAGGAGCAATTCTTAAATATTTTACCACTGTGACCATGACTTTCATTAGGCTTGGCATAAACTCCAAAAGTATATAATGGTCTTACTAGGATAGTAAATAATTTCCAAGGGTGCTGCTATTTCTCTAAATGAATTAAGTTGCAAGAAGACAAATTACACATTGTTCCAAAAATTTAAGAACTGGAGGAACTCAACAAATAATGGGGAGATAGAGGGGTAATAAAAAAACTTCATTGCCAATCCAAAAGGGAGTACACCAGCTCCCATGACTGTTCCCTCTAGAAATGGCTGTGGCTTTAGTATGATTTGATTAGACTTTGATTCCCATTCTTTACGATGCTCTGCCTTCTGGTCCTGGCTTTACTCTCAAGCTGGCTGACCCCACAATAGTAAATTTATTGTAACAGTTCAGTCAGCCAGTCTGTACACCAAAGGATTTATAAAGAGAGAGCTCCTTGCAACTTTAGAGCAGAAATCCTGAGCTTTGCTCTGCTTGCTTGGTTTTCGGCCTAATCTTTCAGTCTCTCCTGCTTCTCATCTTTTCATAGTTGACTTTCGAAAGGAAAGCTCTTTTCTGGTAGCTCCATGCTTATCCAGATTGCTTCCTTGTTTTGAGAACACAAACGCTACCTCTTAATTGACCAGCTTTTTGGGTTTTCATTGCCTCTTAACTTCTCTGTCAGTCTCTGTTCTGCCCTTGTCTAGCCTCTACTTTTAAAAATAATTAAATAAGGCCAAGGGTGAGCTTAATGACAGAGTGTTTGTCTGGCATATATACGGCCCTGGATTCAATCACCAGCACTGAAAAAAGAATCAAACCCTTATCCACTGCTTTAGTGGCTACCTTCTTTGCACAGTTCTTCAAAGGAAAATACCTGACAGCTCTCTGATTCCTTTCACACATAGGATTAAGTCCCTACCTGAATTTTACATTTATGCTGCTATAATTATTACCTAACATGAAAACATTAGACAATCTGCCTCAAAATTATTCATCCAGGATGTTGGATAAATATGCAGGTACTGAATCTCATCCAAGGACCTTCTGAATCTGCATCTCTGGGAGGCCTCTAGATGTTTTTTAAACGCAATGTGGACTGAGGCCTGTTATGCTATCCTCTGGGGGAAAATCTCCCTTTCCTCCATATGAATAAAAATGAAAACCCCCCAGCCATTACCCTGTCATTCTTCTTGCTACTCCTCACTCTTCTAATTGCCTGCTTTCAACATTGTTTTACACTTTCCTTTTTCCCCACACTGAAGAAAAGTAAATGCAAAGTGGTAGATGTTTCTGATGAAGGTAAAGTGTGGTAGGGCTCATGTGGCCGTCTTCTCCATTAATGCCTGGAAGACATTGAAATCGGCACTGGTTCTCAAACTGGAGTCTCTGAATTAACAGCATCAGCATTAGAATCATTTGTTAAAAATACAAATACTTTATTCTTACCCAGAGCTACCAAATCAGTGGGGAAAATAAAAGAATATCTATGGAATATTTTAGAAGTTGAACATGCTTGTAAACACTTGATGACCATGTGTAATCAAAAAGCTGTACTTATCCATCCTTTTTGGAAGTGTGCATGTACCACATACTCCTGGCAAGCCTCTTGTGCTTCTAAAACACATATCCAAGAACTAACTGTCCTAAGGCAATGAGGAGAAGACAGCTTCTTTATTGGTAAGATAGTCTCAGGTAGCTCATGAGTAAAGAAAATAGTAACATATAGAACTGAAAACTGTGTCAAATATAGAGACAGTCATTTGCATCAGGCTTCATGAAAAATGTCATTAAACCAAAGAAAATAAAAATATATGCACAAAAATAAATAGCAGACAAGTTTCCTGGAAATGTCTACAATACTAAGCAAAATACAAGATCTTAGAGAATGAATTATTTCATTAAAGTGTTCATTTGGATTTTCTAGTCCTATATTTTTAATACCTATTTTCTACTTCTTAATTCTTTCTGTCAATTTCTTCATTACACCTAAGAGATTAACTGTATAATACTACTTTGGCCTTCTGGCTTATTTGTTCTTCTCACCAAAAATGTCAGCTGGTGTCACTAGGCTTTGCCTCTCCTTTGGCATCACTGGAAACTATAGAGTAGTAGCCTGTCTGTTTCCAGAAGCTTTGAGCCAATACACATTAAATACATGAAACCTTCTTCTGCAGACTTCTTTGGGAGATGCTGATCAAAAAGTATGGGAATATTTTCCTCTAGTGATCATAGAATGCCAACAGTGAGTTAAGAAAGAAATTGGCCCACAGACTACAGCCCAAAAGTGCTAAACTTTAAGAGCACAGTTGAGAAAGTTAAGGTAGTAGCATATGTCTTGTCCTTAACCCTAGGATTCCCTGCTCATAAAAATAGACCTAGAAAAGTGGACAAAACTAGGACATTTTACAGAAGCCCTGGAAAGCAAGGCAAATAAATGCCTCATCATCGTGAAAACAAGAAACTAAGTCTGTGTGCTTAATTTATTTTTATGTCTGTACACTTGCCTGGCTGCCATCAGAAGTCCAGATGTACATGTTACTTAGTTTTACTACTGAATTGAGTAGTCTTCATGCATTTACACTGAAAAGAAAGAGCACAAGAGATCACTGCAGAGATTAAGAATTTGGTTTCTTCTAGAAAAACAAGCCCCAAATAACTTTGAAGCTCCTACTGTGAGTTTGAGTTTAGTAATAAAGATTTTCCTCCTCCCTCAAAGAAATCTAAGGACTCTTAGTCCTTTAATGACATCTTCAGTGGATCTTCCTGCTTCTCACATGGACCACACTTCTGAACTTCTGCTGTCTCATAAATTTGATTGATACAGTCTACTTGGAAACCTATTATACTTTGTAAGATCATGCATTATTGCAGGAGAAATAAAAACATTACTAAAATAATTTTCCTTTTTCATGATTGACAAAATTAAAGTAAATCGCATTGATGGAAGGTAAAGCCTACATTTAATAAAGGCTGTTGGGTTATTACAGGTAATGAAAACCTGTGTTTGTGTAAGAGGACAGGTGGGTATAATTTTAGATATATTGTAGTTTTAGATTCTAACACTTTAGGTTGTAGATTGCAGCTCTGCTTGACAAAGTCTAGTTTCTATGTTTATGGGGGGAAATAGCTGTTCTCACATCTTCACAGTTAGATAAGAAATCTTTTCTAATTACTGAGTTGCTGAATCACATTGACCATTAATGCCTGTGTCCTACCACTATATGAACTGAGATTATGTATAAGTTTCTTTGCACTTTGAGAGCAGAAAGTAGAGCCAGATTTCTAAGGAAGTTGAATGATCCTGCTATTTTGACCATAATTTTCCTCTTGCTTCCTCTCCCCCATTGGTATTCTGAAATCAGCCCTTTGTCTGTGAATTTAATCTATCTTTTTCTCACCTCTTCTTGTTTGGTCATGGGCCACTTTAAGTCTTCCGCCCCTCTGCTACAGTTTACAGCAAAATTGTCCCTGGTCCTTTGAATGAGGATGTGCTATTCTCTTCCTAAAATAAGATGAGTTTTTTCCCTAAAATGTGCCACCATGATAAATACAAGCTAAAAACAGGAAATGTGATCACACAAAAGAATAGGAAAATGTTAAAATTTATAAAAGCCTTTTTCAAAACCTGTTAGGAACTCAAACCTCAGAATGCTCTAATGAGAAATTAATGAATAACTATTTATCAAAGTGCAGGGTGACCTTAGGACAAGACTGGAACATAGGTGACAGTGGCTGTAGTATATTCTGCATCATACCTTAGTAATGCAAAAGAATAATGCACACCAGAAGAAGTAATATGAAGACAGAAATAGAATAGAGTTCACTTTATTTTCCAACATAATGAGGCAGTTAATACTAAAATAGAATAGCTAATTAGAAAAACTAAAGCAGAATAAATCTTAAAGACTTTGATTTAAATTCTGAGTAGAAATATGGATTCATTCTTTGAACAAGTATGTGTTTAGCTCTATTATATGTTAGGCACTGTTCTACATTCTGGAGACTACAGTGATGAAAGTCAAAAGTCCTTATGCCGCATATATTGGGAAGAGGAAGGAAGAAAGAAAAAAAAGAAGAAAGGAAGAAGCAGGACAGACGAAGGAAGAACAGATAGATCAAGTTTTCTAAAAATCTTAAATATTAATAAGTGCAATGTGAAATCATTGAAATAGAATTAATAATGTGCTAGAAAGCAACTGATGGCTACTTTAGGTGAAATAATCAGAGTTCTCTGATGAGACAACATTGAGTCTGACTTAAATGAAAGAAAAAAAAGAGGTCATGAATGTTCATATTTGACAAAAATGAGAAGTTTTCAATTTTTGGAGAATATAAGCATAACTAAGTTCCATGATCACAGGGTAACCTAAAATCATCTTTTACTCTATCAACATGTCCTTATTTACCAGAATGCTGGACATTGCATCGTCACATTTCATCAAAATAGATGTCACTCAAGGAGCAGGATAATAGCAACTATGATAGCTTCCACCTAGTGGGCAATTTTTCTTACCAGATGCCTTATATGTGTTATTTCATTTTAACCTCAAGTGTGTTTCCCCCATTTTACAGATAAAAAAACTGAGACGCAATGAGATGAGTTACCCAAAATTACATAGCACCTTGGGTACTGCCCAAGTATGTGACTCTCATAGATAAAGATCAGGAGGACATACCAATGGTGAAAAGAAAACAATAGTGAAGTGGCTGAATTTTAAATACAGATTTTACTTATTTAATGATTAATTAGCATATAAAAACCATGTTTAATGCCTAAAATCTATTATGTACTAGTTTCTTATCAAAATAACACTCATTTTGCAGACTAATGTT